GATATTTATTATTCACTAGAAAATGTCAGAATAAACCTCTTATTATCTTCTAAGAACAATGCTCTCATGCACTCACTATTACAGATAAGAGAAGGGGAAGAAAAATGTTTCACAGAGAGAAGAATCTTTTTAAAAAATCCTGTCACTACTATTAGCTTTGTCTCTAAAACACATCACTTTTGCAGAAAATTTCATATATAGAATGAAATATGATAAATGATCTGTAAGTCACTTATTAACTATATTTTTCATATTTCAAATCAATATATAAGGAACTCACTTATCACATGTTTAATTTGAATAAAGATGAGAAAAGAAAGATCTACACAGTTAGCTGAAAAACTCATCTATTTCTTTATATCATACACAGCATACACACTGTTAATCAGTTGATAACTGTTACTATACAACAAAGATAATTTGTAATTCAGTAATCTTAAAAGTATTGAGACTATGCTCTTAAAGAGAAGAATATTGTCACATCTCTGACTGTATCAAGATCTCACTGCAGTTTCACACAGCTTATCACTTTTATATGAATGATTTCATTCATTTCACAGACTGTTTAAACTGATTTTCAATCACTCTATAATATCATTCAGATATATCATAGAAAGATCTGATTGATAAATATGAGAATCTCACTTCTATATGAGATCAGCAGATTACTCTTTCTTGATAATAAGACACTGCTGAGGTATCACTTCAGCTATTCTCACTTATGAAATGAAAGAAGAGTATTCACTCATTGTCTATATAGAATAGCTAGATGCTGACTTCTTATCAAAGAAGTCAGTGATTCATTTTTCTACTATTAAAAGATATATAAGAGTTACTGCATTTCTTATACAATTTTCTTAGTATACTAAGTATTATATCTGTGATATTCTCATAATAACTCTGTAGCCTATGAGCTCACTATTCAAGCAAGATAGTCAAGCTCACTCATACAGCTTCTCAACAACTACCTCTACATAACACTGCTGACTAGCCACCACTTCAGTTCCGACATGTTACATTAACAGAGATGAAAATGAAGCAAAAGTTCAACTTAAGTCAAGATATTTATTACTATTATTTGAGACAATTATAAGAAGAAACAATTAAGAAACTCATGATTATAAAACATGAAATTATCAGACAGTTTAATATCTCTGATTACAGTATATCAGAGAAGTGTAGTTTTCATGAGAAAGTAAAGAATAAACTTATACAAGAATGTATTTAGTTGTTTCATAAGTATTATTAATAATTATTATCAAATTCTGATTATATAAGCAATCACTGAATAAACTGAATGAGACTGATGTTAATCTTCAGTCTTAGTCTCATTCTGATTTAAAAAGAATAATCATCTTTCACAGTTTATTCTGAGAAATTACTCTTATTTCACTGTTCTTGAATTAAATCTGATTATTTTTCACATCATTTCCCTCAGAAATGATTCATTTTCAGATTTTTTTAAGGCTTGATTCTGATGAGACTCATATCAAGAAATGTATAAGATCAGATCAAATGAGACTAAATGTGAAATTCATAGTCTTATCAGCTAGTCTACTTACAGACAGATAGTTAACAGAATTTTAACAAGTTTTAAAATCTGCTGCATTTCTACATGAAAAAGTAAAGTCATTATAAATAACTAATAAAAAGATAAATTTCACAGATCTGAAACAATATCTATTCTTATAAATATGAAATGAGTTTTTCAAATGAATCTTATACAACTTTGAGAAAGTGAATATATAAGATAAATATTATAAACACTTCACTGAGTGTAGATAAGTAAGTAATCTTATATTATACTTTACACACTTCAGCTTACACTATTTTATATTGAATGAAGAGCTTTCAATATCTTTCTATTTACAGATCTTCATTTATAATCTTACATCTAAGTTGAGAGTGAAATGGAAATACTTAATCTCATAATCAGATATAGTGAAGAAAGCATACAACATTCTCATTATACAGAAATAAGTAAGTTAATTATAATAGAAAATACTGTAATTAAGTATATCTCAATGAAGAACAGATAATCAGACTTCTATAATATAAGCTATATACTCAGATGTAATAAATCTAGATCTGAATATTATTACTAAAGCACTGAATTCTCTCAAAAAGAGATTCTCTGAGTGAAAACCTTGATATTACAAGTATTAAGCTTACTTTAACTGCAGATGTCAAAATTATAATGTAAAAGATTACACATAGTGTGCATAGTTAAGAGAAGTAAGAGAGTTAAAAAACTAGCAGAATTAGTAAGCTCAGAGACACTCACTGATATTCTATAAAAAGTTTTCAAAGTAAAAGAGATATCTGTATTAAATGACTCTCTGAATTCTGTGAATATTAAGAGAAAGCAGACTTCTGACTGAGATGCAGATGAGAATGAAACAGACACTTATCTCAATATCTTGAGATCTGAAATATTAATTTATAAAGAGCATTTAAGTAAGAATTGAGAGATAACTGTAAAAGTATTAGTAAATACAAAAGCTTCTATATAATATATTAATAATTATATAATCTGAAGACTGAAAGAGATTCACTGAGTGAAGAATTTCTGATATATAAGATTGTCTGATAATTAATATTTAATATCACTTATAAGAGTAAGAGTTCTCTTGTACTTCAGAGAATAATCTTACTATATTTGAGTATAAGAGCTGCAGAATGTGAAATACAATCTTATTCTTAAACTTAATTAATTTCAGAGATTCAATTCACAGATTCAATAATATACATGTTATATACAGTTAACTGATAGAAAGAAAACAGTTCATACAATTCTATCAACTGATATAAGAAGAACATTTCATATCTCTGATATAGAAGAATTAAATCTACTTACACATCAATAAGCAAAGAGAATGATTTATAAGACCTCATCTGAAAGCATTCTGTATGTTATACAGAACTCAGAAGTGAAGAAAACTAAGATAAAGAATATATAGAAGAACAGATATATAAGAAAACTTCTGAAGAAGTATGAAAAGATCTTTTAAACAGATCTCTCATCAGAATTGTCATCAGAACAAGAATTTATATATGAGATTGATATAAGAGATGTGAAATCAGTTAATCAGAATATGTATTCTCTGTCACAGTCTCACAGACACACTTTGAAGAACAGAAGTGTCAGATCACAGACCTTCTAGAATATGATCTCATACAACTCTCATCAAGTGTGTGAGGCTTCTCAGTTCTATTCATGAAAAAGACGGGTGAGAAGTGATAGATGTGTATCAATTATTGAGCACTCAACAAGCTTATAATCAAGAATGAATATTCACTGCCACAGATTCAATAACAGTTGAATACAGTTAAAAACACCTGATATCTATTGAAGATCAATCTTCTCTCAGAATACTGACAGATTCATGTAAGTGAACTGTCAGTACCATGAACTGTATTTAATATGTAATGAGAGAAGTTCAAATTCCTGACAATGTCATTCAGTCTGATAAATGCATCTATCATCTTTCAAATGATGATGAATACAATTCTTTATAAACAGAATGAAACCTCATGCCTTGTATATCTGAATAACATTCTAGTCTTCTCAAACTCATACAATATTATTTTCCTGGTATAAACCACACTCTGTCCAGAAACTTGCCAGCAAAGATGAGCGTGGCTTGTGGCAAGAGGGATTCCCTGAGGAGGGTGGGCTTTGGACAAATCTTGGGCGTAATGGTGAGCCAGATGAACCTCGGACGATGGAGCTACCCAGTGGTCTAGATTCTATGTCTGTCGAAATTTTTGATAGAAAATTTGACAGGGAATATCTTTATTCTCTGGAGATGAAACTGGAGCGGCGGGAGTGGAATAGGCAGCATGAAGACGGGTCCGAGAGCGTTGTGTGGTGGCCCGCAGAGGGCGACATCTTTGCAGGAGATGAAAGTATGGAGTACATGTCTGCGGATGATAGAAGCTGTGCTCTATTGATTAATACTACAGGCAACATGAGGAGGCTTGTTGTCCTGAGCTTCGATCCAGCAAGCCAGAAGCTTGAAAGGTGGTGTGCAAGTCAAGAGGCTGCTGATGCCAAGATATCTCGATTGAGTGAAAAGGTCATCATCCCAATTCTAGACGAGGATTGATGATTCACGGAGAATGTTTTCGCGGAGTCAATTGCTGTTCCCATGAGTGGGCCAAGGGTTGCATTTCCGGGACCCCAAGTTTGAAGAGATCCCATGGTGAAACAAGTCTCGTTTACTCTAAGCAGTCGGGTTCTAGCTCATATCCTATTTTGGCAAAGCTATCAATGCTATGGCGCATGCTATCACCACCGAACTCATTCTTAGGAAATCATCACTCGCAATTATCAAATCTCAAGTCGCCATTCGCATCATAAAATGTCTCGCTGAGGTCTTGCTTTCGATTTCTGCTCGCCGCCTTGCTCCGACCCCCAAGAAGCTAGGTACTCGAAGTCTTAGGGTCCTTTCCTGATATATGATCAAGCAGCTTGGACGTCGTGGCGGTGAAACTGTTGATTATATCTTGCTGTGCGCCTAGCCGTTGCTGAAGAGAGAGGATTTGAAGCTCGGTGTCTGATGGGGGAGTCTGGGTTGAGGCATCAACGTTCTTTCGCGGCTCCTTGAGGAGGCTTGGCGGGATGGCTGGCATTTCTCCTTCACTAGCTGTTAGCAATCGCTTTCAATTTGTACTATTGAATGATACCTTAGCTATGTCAAGGCGTGGTTCAATTGCAAAACGATGTTAGGCTTAGAACTGAGAGTGACGAAGAGTTGACCAGAAGAGCCATCAGCTTCATGAAAGAGAAATCGTGATGCAACCGCCAGAAGTGGGGTCGATTTTAATCATCAATCAGAATCTTGGAGGATCGAGTATTTTCGGAATAAGATGGCGGGGTTCATCCCCGAATCAGGTATAGATCCATGATTTCTATAATAAGCAGAATCGCGATAGACTGGCAGTGCTAATTTCAGCTCGCATGGGCAGTATTTAAGAAGCTGACCAGCTGCATCAGTAACTCCTGCAGCAGATTCTCATTGCCTTCTTCACCAGCAAAAATGAATAACTCGAGTGAACATCCCCCACAGCAAGCTGAACCCAATATGGGGTGGGATGATTTCTTCAATGGTCTTTCAACATCAGTTTGCTCACCTCTCTCTCCGAACACTTTTAACGCAATGCTGTCGGAATTCAACACAGAATGCCACTCACAACCAGCCGCCCTCTCAGGGCTTGGGATTGAATATCAATCACAACCAGCAGCGGCGCCTGAGACCCCTCGGAACGATCCTCCCACACCACCTGTTCTCAGCGAGAACCAAGAGCTTCAGCAACAGATCCAAAAATTGAAGACAGAGTGTGTTTTCCCACATATTCTTGTTTATTCTTTTGAAGAATGATTTTTGTTAACAAACTCCAGAGTATTCTTGCTCAAAAGCGAGAACCAAGAGCTTCAGCAACAGATCCAAAAACTGGAGACAGAGTGTGTTTTTCCACATATTCTTGTTTATTCTTTTGAAGAATGATTTTTACTAACAAACTCCAGAGTATTCTTGCTCAAGAGGTATTTGATGTGTAGATTGCTTTTTTCTGCAGAGCTGACCACCTCTAAAGCACTGGAAAAGAACTTGAAAAGTACGTGGCGGAACTTATACCTTGGACGAAAGAGGTCATAGAGGGGTTTCGAAAGCTGGGGGTAGAGCCACAGTCAGCAACCCGATCTGAGTTTGGAGAGGCTTTGTGATGTTGTCGTTGGGTGTTTATCATTTTCATTGGTTGCTTTCAAATCTACCGATTTCAAGTACACTAGCCAGAATGGGCAAAACTCCATAAATTCCAACCTTAGCGTCTTTACATGCTTGCATCCTCCTCACAAATCATGATGAACTTGTGCATGATGAAGAGTTTGATGGCAAGAGCCCGCATAATCATGGGCTCTCATTTTCTCTTTCTCCAGCTGAGTTAATCAGTATGTGAGCAACGGCAGTGGTAAAGTCTTATTGATTAAAAATTGAAAATGCAGTCGCTGCAAGATTTGCTGCGGAATTGGAACAACAATTGCCTTAGGCCTGTTTGGATGGCGGTTGAGGGTGAGTCTGATGCATCTCTTGCCTATGGTGAGTGACTCCAGGGTGTTGTGGGATTGCTGCTAAAGATTCTGTACCACAGCTGAATACTTCAATATTTTAAGGACAATTCCTCTCCCTGAACTCGACAGCCAGCAGCTGGACTTCCTTCTCCTATGTTCCCTTGTTCCGGGTTCAATACCATTGCAGGACATCAACATCTCAAGGCTGAAAGCAGAGTGTGAGAATGAGCAAAGGAGGAGACATGTCATGGCCTTTCCAGACTCTCATACCGACAAACAGCGCTCAAGCCAGGGCGAAGATCCAGGAGGGCGCAGGCAGAAGCTTCGGGGTCAGAGACCCGGCCCCAGTCAATCACCCGTCCCTCCATCAAGTCCCTCCCCTTGCATGAACTGATCCAGCAAGTGGGAGTGCTGGGAAACATTACACCTGCCGCCAAAATGACACTCGATGATTCAATTCTTCGTACCATGCTTCAGCGACCCAACGAAGTCAGGGAGCCAGATTCCCCACAGATTGTTGGTCGCAGCAATAGGTTGGCCTGCCTGCATCTCATCTAGGCCTAGTGAATGAGGGGGATCTCACGTGGTTGAGCCCTCTGGACGCCTATAAAAAGGGAAAACCCTCCCCATGAACTCATCTTCCCTTCTTCTTTCGCATTTTTTATCGCAAATCATGGCTATCACTCGTCGTGGAAGTCGTGAGGAAGGCAGGCGCTTGCGTTCCAGAAGAATAGTCAAATCACCTCAACATGCGGCTTCAACCAAACAAAGCCCGTGTCGCTCCGTTCCCTCCTCCCGTCGCCCTGTTGCCCGTCGAGGGAGAAGCAACATCCCACTCGATCCTGCGCAAGCGAATAGCGCACAGTGCACCTCAACCAAATCACATCAACAGATCACAGGCAAACCCGCTCCTGTTGCAGAGCAAACCCACGAATCCTCACCCTCCGGTCCAAACAATGATGAAAATCACGAAGGATTTGCAAATGAATACCTACCTCCCAACTCTAGTCCGATGGGAGGCGACAAGATACCTCATGTGAATGATGAAGATGGAGAAATCATATCTGTTGCGGAAGAAGCAAGATCCAATGCTGATGGTATGGCTTCTGAAGAACCACCATTGATCATGAACTAACAACAACACTTAGGCAATAGTGATGCTGGGGAAGGTGAGGATATCATACCACTCAATGAGTGGTCTACACGATTTTGTCCAGATGATGGGGAAATCGAGATTTTGCGCTTCATTTGGGACCCTAGCTGTGTAACTCCAGCGCATTTTGATGACCCAGAGCAAGCAGATCGAAGACTGGATGAGATGCTGAAGCAGGGAGCTTATGACGACTCACCCGTTGGCTGCCAAAGCAAGCTTTTAGAACGTGTTTGCTCTGTGTATTCAAAGAGCTCTAATGATTTTGGGAACTTGTACTCTGTGACGTGGAGGCCTTATTGGTCAAGGAAATTAAGTCGATAAATGACCTCTATGACTTGATAAGGCTGTTTTATCCTTTTTCAGGCCTTCGTAGATACACTCAAGTGTTTTACTCGAGCCCAGCACCACCCGCCCAGGCCTCTTTGGGCAGCACAGTATAATGTGACCGACTTTCTGCTACTAAAGACTTCTCCAGTTGTTCCACGCTTGTCCTCTACTCTCTTTTCCATCTCTCCAGCGCCGCAGCAGCGCATGAGCTCTCTCTCTCTCTCTCTCTCTCTATGTTGCTGCAACAGAGCATGCGTCCTATCTTTACCACACCACCAATGGAATAGGTCAGGTCTTGCAATCATAGTGTAGACGACGCTGCTCCAACATTCAGCATCTTGAAGGAGAGAGGAGGCAGGCTCATACTGGCAGTTTGTGATCATTCTAGATACATGAATTCAAAAGCTTGAGTTATTATAGCTGCCTGTCCGAGCTCAGGAAAGGTACACCACAAGTAGAAAGGTGAAGACAAAAAGAGAGAAATATTGGAATCTTTGCCTATTCAAAGAGCTGTCGTTCTGCGCAAGATAGATATAAAAAGCTACCTCCCCCAATACCACTGCAAAATTGACTCTTTCTTTTTTCCTTCTCTGACGACCGCGTCCCCATATGCTAAGGAGGGTCAGCTATCATGGAAGAAGGGATGGGTAAGTGGGAAAATTCTATCAAAATCAGGTCCGCCGTCTCTTCCGGCGAGGAGAGGAGACATCTTCATTCTCACTACCACTGAACTTGAGGTCCCCTAGGAAAGTGATGCTCCAATAGCGTAGCCCCCCAGCGCTGCACATCTGTCGGAGGTAAACAGGTCCTGATCCTGAGCGCTCTGATAGGATCTTATCCGGTGGTGGTGGGGACGCGCGCTCGGTCCCAGTGCTGTCGGTGCTGATGGCGCGCTGGGCATGCTGGGCATGCTGGGACCGGCGAGGGCGAAGCCGCCGACCTCTTAAAGAAGACGTAGGCCGGGCGACTGAAGGTTCGGGGGTCAAACTTCGCTCCCGCTTGGCCACCGGGCTAGGGGTCACTGCGTCCGCGTCCGCGGGGGCGGGGGCGGGAGCCACACCAGTGAGATCACCCGTCTGGTTACCCGGATCATTATCTGTAAAGGTCAAGGTCAGAATGCATCCAGGGTTGATTTAGGGACCATGACTCTTCCATACCTTGTGTGGAAGTGGCTGCAATTTCAGGCCCAGATGCTCTGAACATATCCAGCAATGTATCCGCGTCCGCGGTGTCCTCCTTGTCGGAGTTGTCGGAGTCACCGGTCAAATCCACCATGTTGATGTTTTTGTTATTGAAAGGCTTCAATGTTTTTGGTGCTGGGGGCGGAAATCATTGGGGTGGTTGCGGGGGTTGGCTTGGTAGACCGGGCGCTCATTCTGGTGAACGAAGATGTAGAGGCCACTGTAGAGGCCACTGGTTGCGATCACTGGCGTTGGGCAGGTTAGAAGAAATATGATAAGATGGTGGGTGTTTCGGAGGGAAGGCCAGCTTAAGGGGCGAGCATCGCTTCCTTATATGTCCTTGGTCTCCCATGCCTCCGTGCTTTCCCCTTCCATCTTCTCATCTTCTCCTCATCTCTCCCAACCGTACCACCATGGATTCGCTGATCGCGCGGCGCAGCTGCTGGATCAGGAACCCCCACCCCCGCTTCCTTAAGCCCTTTTCATCCCCTCTTGATTCTCGCCTCCCGTGATCCGCCCCCTCAAAGTCATCGAAAGCCATGGAAAGTCGGAGAGCCAAAAAATCAGCTAGTCCGGTCCATGCGCGTCAGAGTGCGTGAGGGAGGGGAAGGGCATCATCGCGGGCTGGCTGAAGCTCGCTAAAATTTCCCCCGAACAGACATTCCTCCTCATAATCATGTGGGAGAGGCATTTTTGCCATTGGTCCAGCGGTGCATCATGCATTCAGATGCGAGGCACAGCACAGCTAAAAACACTGTCCCAGCTGACCATTCTGCAGGTTGATCTCCAGTCTGAAAATCACCCTTCCAGCACCGACTGTGATTGGAATGCCAGGGAACGCCGGAGATCACCGCGCGACACCGCCCCCAACTGAGACGCACATGCCTGTCTCCCCTGCGAGGTGGCGCGGCACAGCAGCTGAGGGCGCAGCTGGCCCGAATAACTCCGAGAAGCCAGGGAGGTGGGTTGGCTCTGTCCGTTGGGAGAAGACCTCACACAACTGCTTGCTCGCTCGAGAAGCGGCCGTCCGATCCAGTCCCGCGAGCCTTTGCCAGGCGGGACAGCAGGCAACCATGGAAGCAGAGAACACCGCTCCTGCGAGAGCAAATGATCGGACGGTTCAGGAAACGGGGAAGGACAAGCTGGCTCAATGATGAACCGCGGAGCCGGGAGGGGAGAAACCAAAGTGGGGCGGGGCGCCGGACAAGGAGGGCGGCATGGGGACATGCCAGCGGGAGGAGAGAGAGGGGGAGCGAGAGAAAGGAAAAGAAAAAGAGAAGAGGATGGGGTGGGAAAGAAGATGGTCTCCCAGCAGCGGGAGGTCGGTCGGGCTTTATATGGCATGCAGCACGCCAAGAGCTACCAGGAAGCAGGCGCCGGAGCGCTAGGCCTGGTCAGGAAATGCGCAGGTCCTCACATTACAGACACAGGCATTCCCAGTTAGAGCTTGTCACACCGGCAACAAAGCCAAAACACTTCGTGGTCAGTTGGTTAATGCCAGAAGACATCAGCCTGTGAGCTCCGGTTTGAGGAAGCAGTAGAACGGAGTGAGGTCATGTGACAAAGCTAGTTAGCCACCACGGCTTCAAAATGGTGGCATTCCTAGATAAATGATGGCGTGTCTGAAATATATAAAGTGGTAGAGAAATCCTAACTGTCTGCTTGAGAAACAACTCGAATACACCAGTATGGCGACTCACCATTCTACTGCATATGTTGACATGCTGCTGGCGTTGGACCGCATCCCATGAAAATATGCTCTTTATGCTCAAGCTTTCAATTGGCTTCTGCTCGCAGCTTATTTGATTCTCCCAGGCACGTTTCAAAATCATCCTCTATCCCGAGCAGTGCAAAGCTACCTTGTTAAATCTGGGAAAGATCTTCCAAACCTTGGTCCTGTTCAAAACCCTTTGCTGTTGGCCATCTCTTGCCTTTTTATCTCGGCAGGATGGCTGGGGTTATTTTGGCTCGGTTGCACCTGGCGAGGGAATTATATCTGGCTTGTTGATCAGCTTTTCATGTAAGAGAGTAAATGATGGATTTGGTCCATTGCTTGAATAACAGTTCTAGCCCTAGCTTGCTCAACTCCATCGCCGGACTGGTTGCTACGTTGATCAACATATACACCGCCAAAGAGGGTCATTGGTCAGCAACCGCGATCGCTGCTGTTGTAATCACTGGCTCTTCAACTGTGATCAGTGGTGGGCTTTTTCTTCTGTACAAATTGCGAAAAATAGGCAAGCTTCGGAGGTCTTATGAACAAACATGAGAACTGTGGTAGAAGGGGCCTAAGGCGAGGTTAACAATGAAATGTCAATGTAGGATACTCCCATCAAGGAATTCATGGTTCATGCTCAAAGGCACGTGACAGCTTCTGGTGCAAGGATGAAGGGGCTTGGCAGCGATCAAACTGTACTACAAATCTCCTTGCTTCTGTTCTTCCAGATGTTTTCACCACTATTTTGGTAAAGCAAAAGATCAGATTCTGTCTGCCTGCTAAAATGGATAGATACTACTATCTCCCTTGTCCACTATGTGAGCATAACGTGGTTATATCCCAAACTGAGCATTATCGAGTCTTGCCATTAGACCGAACTCAAGAAGCCGTCATGATGAAAAGTCCCAGATGGGAACCTCCTCATAAAATTAAAGTCGGAGATCTTTGTTTTATTCAAGGCCGGAGCTACCCCAAGATCAGCTATTTGCAAAGAGCGTGGCTTCTACATAAGAGATGCCTTGAGTTTGTTGAACAGCTTTCCACAACAAAGCTGTATCACTTACTAGATCTGATCGAACCGACTTTCCTCGCACGATCTGCGCCGAAGACCAGTGTACATGGTGCTTTCTACTACCCCCAGCCGAAGAAGGATGACCCGAACTACGCAGAGAAGGTGATACCGCACTCAGAGACTACATATATTGATCAGTTGATGAGTTTCGCCAAGTATTTGTGGATGTTCATACATGGATTTCTGCTCCGGCCCCTACCAGGCGATCGTCAAACGCCTTTTTTCCAGAGATTACCAGAAGAGATTTGGGATATGATTCTTGAACATGATATTGGCCGATTACTGTTTGTTCTGGAAACCGCATCTCAGCTGACAGGCAAGAGGGATACTCCTCTCATCATCCCAACTGAGAGATTCACAATCAAAGAGTCAAAAATTCGAAGCCCTGCCATACGGATTCATTGTCGTAACATCGGACGACGATCATATATCCATCATGTCTCCAATCCTACAGACAGCGATACCGAGGGCGACAATTTGGTGGACTACATGCTTAATGATAGCAAGTATCTTGCCATCAAAAGTGATGGAATCGGTGTTGTGGACATCTCTTTTGAACAGAGAAACGGCCAACCACATTGGGCTTTGGACACTCCTGTTCGACCCTTCCATGCGGAGATATCTGAAATCAGAGCTACAGAACTCCAGTGCTTGCGGATTATCTGCGACGTACGTAACTACCTGGCTATAGAATGCAATGCGATCCTAGCTGACTTCTTTAGTCTCAGAAATGCCGTGCAATTATTCCGTCCAATCGAACTGGGCCAGAGCCTTTCTTCTCCAAGACACCCTTTCCCCCGAATAATTGCTGGGTTGACTGTGGATTCTCAGCATTAGAACTCACTCCTGGCAATCCTTTCATCCACATCGCAAAGGCAACATACATTCCGTTTGCGAACCTTGAGAAGATTGCACTAGAAGTGGATACCAGCCGGCTTGGAATTACAGAAATCAGACTTGATTCAAAAGATGAGAGAGATCATGTTGTTCATTTCCCTCAACCTCCCCGGCAGGTGAAGTTCCAGGTTTGTACCGTGCCACTTGGCTTCAAGTATCCTTATCTCCAGGTCAGTCCATTCTGCTCTATGTACAGATGGCATCTATTCTAATAACCATAGTTTGAGGTTAATGGGCAATGGCTACCCCAAACTCCATCAGGATGCACAATACTTCGAGAGGAGTTGGTGCATAATGTTATAGGAATGTGGTGGGCACGAACTTTCCCATTTATACCCATACATATTGGTTTTGTTGTGTCCCAGAAGACAGATCTTAAAAATACCTTGATGAACTAGCTTTTTTGAGCTATTAAAGAATGAATCTGGTCGGTAGAAATACAAAGGAATTGATCCTCCTCTTGTTGCATCTTAGACATTAAAATACTCTAAGCAGTGCTCTAAAATCGCCACAATTCTTGCTTCATCAGCATCAAAATCCAAGGGCTCATTAGGTATGGGATCAAAATCCGCCGCACCCCGAACCTCAAAAAACTGACACTTCAGACCTCCACCCCTTGAGGTTGCAAATGCAAATCCCTTGCGACGTCCTCCCTGAGCAACAGCCTTCTGGGTGACTTCCTCGACCAGTGTGTTTCGTAGCTCATTGATGTCTTGAGTTGCTGAGACTCTGCCAAACACAACAATACTTCCTCCGAGTGTTATGAATAATGCCTGGCTTGTCCTGGGTGGCTGGAAGGCAGTTTTGACTTCCTGCTGGATGCCAGCACTCGGTGCGATTCTTCGAAGGTTTTCATGAAGAAAATTGACAACAAAGTCAGTCACGTTTGCCAGATTCCCATGTTGTGCTTTATCATGCATGGTGGCAATGGTTCCTGTTGGCTCATTCATGGTCTTGAGGATCATCAGCTGTGTACTTAATCAGTTTAACTCTCTTTGACACATACCATGAGGATGGCCGGCCTGTAAAATGCCGCTGCTGTTTGGGGTCGGGTGAAGTTAGATCTGCTATTTTCAGTCAATCTATGCCAGAGACTGGAGAAAGAATTTCAAAATCAAAAGACTCAGACTACAGGCCTTATTTAATTCATGCTCATGGTTCCAACTCGCTTAATTCCTTGCTTTTCGAGGTTAGCCTATCGGATATCTTGCTCAATTTGATTGGCTTATCTAGGTACAGCATCAGACATTCCGGCCGGATAAAATTTCAGTTTCAGCAGCCAGAGCATGATGGCAGTGGTCATACATGCAGCGAGCGGAACTAGCTGGAGGAAGCTCTATTGGATGGTATCAAATCTGGGCCACCACTGTAGTATGTTATACTCGCGATGCCGGAAGGCTTGGCAGTGCGAGAAAGCCTTAGTCCAATAGGAAATATAGGAACCTCATGCATGCAAAATCCATACCGCAGAAAGAGTACTACTTGCAAAGGTAATTTGAAAGGGGAATATTTCGGCCCTAGCTGTCGGACTGATTTGGAATCCTTTCCCAGTGATAGATCACATTTCTATATACTTCCACTTTCTTCCTTGCCCCCTGACTCTCCGCTCGCACTCACTGCACTGAATGTGAAATGGAACACCATGGTTCTCGAGTCCAAAATTACTCTCCAGATCCTGCTGGTCAATAAACCACTGGATGGTGTTTGGGAACATGCTTACTTCATGTATAGCATCATCACGACACAGGGCGAGGGTGACTGTCTCCTTGAGATCTCGAACGCAGAACCGAACCGGCCGGCAGTAGCGCTGGCAAGATTCGCATATATCCTCCTCCGCCAGGCAGAAGCCTAAGTTCAAGCTGTCTTTGTAGAAGCAGAGAGTGGTGGGGCGTAATGATAACAAAGCCTGGATGATAGGCCGCGGTGGCGCGCGGCACTGAAGGGAGCCAACACAGTAGAATAGACCAGAATGGAAATCTGGCACGGCGTCCAATATGAAGTAGAAGCACGACACCAGTAGCAGGATGAGTGCTTCTTCTATCCTTTTCCGGGGTTGCTTCCGCACCCACTGTGACATGGATTCCGTGGCGTCTGCATCGTTCATCGCCGGTGGTGCTCCTGAAAATGGAAAGTTGATACGCATAAACTGTTTCTGCGTCAGTGGATCAAGGAGGTTCCAGATCTCCCGCCAGGACTCCTCCCCATCATATGACGCGTTGAAGGCCCGGTAGCCCCGGGAGAGCCACCCATCCACAAATACATTCTGAAAGCTGGACGTCTTTGGTGACTGCACAAGTGACTGTGACCCCGTACCTAGCGAGATCACAACATCTGGTTTTGTCGTGGGCCAGAGGTGCTGGGCTTCTGACAGCGCCATGTGAACTGGGTTGTTGTTGTGTGGATGAGTGCCGCCATTCTGAAGACTCCCAACCCTGGGTATATTGACTGATGGAAACAAGCTATCTCTCTGTCAGATATCAGATGCTCATGATGGAGAAGAGATGTACTCTGGAACGGCTGTGGTCACCCGCCTGCTGCGAATTCAAAAGTTAGCTTGGTCTGAGAGACAGGCCAAGGATGTACACTCACACCTGCCAGACAAGCGGATCATCATCACTCTTGGTTTGGGCATATTGATACCCTACAAGGTCTTTGTCAGCTAGAAGCTAAAAATCAAATAGAGAGGCGCTATACTGTGATTTCTTCCAGGAGATGTTTCACTGTTATAATTCATAATCAGGACTGGGGCTCTGTCGCCAATGGTGCTGGTTATGATGGCCACTTTCCAGGCTGATATATTTGATCGTGGGGTGTTGCGCATCCGCAGTGTGGGTCTGAAGTGGTGGATGTAAACACTATCTATGTTCTTGCTTTTGTATACACCATCTGCCCACAGGGCCTTCACCAGGCGATGTGGTTTTGTGATTCCAACCTTTTGGTTCTTCTCAAAGAAAAGCTTCATCTGCTTCAGACAAGCAGACTTTGTGTCCTTTACATCATGTTGACAGACCCTCATGTTCAGTGCGACATTGCCTTCTATCTGGTGTGTTAGCTTCGGGGTAAAGGCAAAGGCCTTGTCAGAACAGAAAGGAGAACAGGCAGGGATTGCATACCTGTGCTTGTTCCACCCCAGAAGTCAACCAGATAGTGAAGCGGCAGATGGGGAATATAAGCCTGCATCATTTCAAGGACATTCAAGGGCATGATCACATGGATGCCTTCTTCATCAATACTGATTATCCGAACACCCGCGGTAGATGGTTTCACCCTCACCTTCAAGCAGGTAAGCTCTTTGCATGGAAGGCACTTCTTGATCATGAATTCATCTTCTGAGCCCTCAAACTGTTCACTGTATTTCTGAGTGCAATAATCACAGATGAAGTGGCTGCATGGTAAAGGATGCTGATGACACTGAAGCAGGCATCAAGAGCATGTAAAGCTCAGTTTCAGTCCCTTTCATTGCTCTCTACTCTGGCTCAGATTGTAATGATGGACTTCTGAGAAGAACTCATTGTTGTTGATCATTGTGTTGAAGAATACTTTCAAGAAATCTTCAATCTCCTGGCACTGCAGTTTGGCAAAGGAACAGTCTTCATATACTTGATGTAGGGTGTTAAAGACATGCGCGTGATACAATGCTTGGAAGAGAGTGCGTGGGCAGAAATCTCAAGAAGGTTAGATCAGAACAGAAGGAGAGAGGAAGGGCTCACTATGTGTCTTTGGAGGATAGGCATCTATCAAGATCGCGGATGCTACATATAATGCTGTTGCTTTGTATGGGGCCCGCATACAAACAGCCTGTGCAAGAAACATTGATACATGTGATGAGAAGGACCTGTTCAGCAGATGCATCCGCTGTGAGGACTGGATGAAGTTGAAAGTGATGAGGGCATTGCCAGCCATGTTCTGCAATGCATCTGAGAACAGACTGCTCAGATGTGTTGCTGAAAACATCAACTGAGTGACTTCTCACACCCGCCTGGCTGCGTGCAGCTCCTCCATCATGTCTCCTTGAAGATCAAGATATTGGGCCTCAGGAGAAAGCTCGGCGGGCTGAAGATGGGACAACCGCACATCCGCAAAGGATGACAGGAGGCGGGAGGTACTGTCCGGACGGAAGAGATTGTCAATAAACTGATTCTCCTCGAGAATGTTCCCCATCACAGCCCCGCCCCTGGTGACGATGATGACGCGGGGGCGGATGGACCGTGGCAGACTTGACGCTGATCCGATGGCCGCCCACCGTTCCAGCAGCGACTGGGAGGCAGCCAGCCCCCCAAGGTCATCTGCAAAGAGACAGAGGACATCGCAGAAGAGGAACACCAGGCGCGACAGCACAATGTCATAGGGGTCTCAGTGCCAGGCTCTAGGCCAGTTGACTGGGATCATCTCATGGCAGTGGCAGAGCTTTGGGTCATCAAATGATGGAAGAATATCCCGCCGGCTCAAGTTGCAGTCAGCAAAGAGCTGGGGATACTTTGAGCTGAGGGAGGAATTGTCTGCCCGCAGGCTGATCTCTGGCCGGTGCTCACTGGTGCTGTGGTATCTGGCTTTGCAAAGCTGCTGTAAGGCAGCATTCTTGTGCTTTCTCCCTATGAGCAACATGATTCCCGGGTATTTTTGGGACGGCTCAGGCAGTTCCTGGATCACATGTTCAAAACGCCAATCATAGGATATGTTGGGACCTGCACATCCTTCAACAAGCCACAGTCATGAATTATGCTCACAGCGCTCCATCAGATAGACAAGTGTTTCATAAAGAGTATCTCAATCCAACAGTTGAACATATGTTGCTGGCTAAAGCATGAAGCCAGGTGTGCTTGATTATTATACTCACTATTGTCTATCATCTGGTGACCTCTTCTTTCAAAGTCATGGTCTGCCCCCCTCTGTTCAGCATCCCTACTCCTCTATGCATTTTTGACATGCCTTCTCAACTTATGGCTATCCCTTGTTCCACGTGGGATCCCCTGGTCGGGCTCTGTTTAAGCCATGTAGAATCATGGCTATCCCTGTTCCACCCATCAGCCCTGTTCCTATTCACTATTCTTGTCGGATTGTGACTCTTCCTATTCCCTTTTGTTTCCCTACTCTCTTGGGAAAGCCATGCCTGTCCCTGTTCCAATTATTTTTCCCTGGTCTCGCAATTATCCCTGTTTGTTTCAATGGATCACCAGTGGCAGTCCCTGTTCCACTCTGTTTCCCTACTCCACTGGCTTGTCCCTGCTCCACAGTATGGTTTCTTGAAGGTGGTGGTTCTCCCTGCGGCTCTTGTCATCCCTACTCCACGGCTTGACTTACGGAAAGTGATGGTTCTCCCTGTGGCTCATTCTGTCCCTGCTCCACGGCATGATTTGCTGAATTCCGAGGATCTCCCCAATGCATTTGTTTGCCCTGCTCCTCTAAGAGTTCATGGCATAGTTTCTCAGAGTCAGTGGCCATCCCTGCTCCTCCCATTGCACCTCTTCTGCTGGCCAAGTTTCGTGGAAGCCGTGGTCATCCCTACTCCAGCAGGTATATCTACATCTTTAACATGAAGTCGTTCCTGGCCCTGTTCGTTGCCATATTTTGCCGCTTGATCTAATCCACTCATAGACTTCCCTGCTCCATGCACTCCACTGTTTGTGGCCCGGCCAGTGTTCATCAATATCTCTAGACCTTCCTGAAAAGTATCGCAGAAAACACACAGCTCTCTTTGATCTTCAGGATAATGGCCTTTGTGAAGATGTCTCCATGCTACGTTGGTAACTACAGGGTATCCTCCCGGGTACCGGGAACAGGCAGTGCCTTTATGGGTATGTTCCAAGGGCATGTTGGTAGTGCTTGCTGACCAACATCCAACAGCAAGCGATACTTTTACAGGAGAAGCCGCCGTCGTCAAGTTTGGCAGAGGCGTCCACGGCAGCCGGAAAGTGGCCGCGGAGGGGTATATTCTAGGTCGGCTAGCGGGCACGCCAGGCATCCCTCGTCTGCACTGGTCTGGATGGCCTTTCGCGGACAAGGTAGATGCAGCCATTGTTGTCGACACACATGGCCCCACCCTGGAGTCACTCTTTGACCAAGCCGGACGGCGACTTAGCCTCGGGACGGTATTGCACCTGGCGGACCAGCTGCTTCGGCGATTGGAGCACATCCACTCACGGTCGGTGATTCATCAAGATCTCTCACCACACACTTTGGCGCTAGGCGCCACCCGCCTGCACCGTCACCAGATGTTCATTGTTGATTTTGATTGTGCTGAAGTGACCAGCTGTCGATCAAAGATGCATGCCAATCTTAAAGCTCTGGGCCACATCCTCATCTACCTTCTCGGGACCAATCTCTCCTGGGCGGCATTTCAGAAGGTTGCTGAAGATACTGGGACTTTTCCAATCAACAACATCCCCCCTCCATTCCTGCTCTACCTGGACAGGATTACAAGGGTGGATTCCGAGGACTATCAGCATCTTCGTAATGACTTTGGCTATTTCCGTGAACTGCTAGGCATATCAGGTAATTGCTGTCTTGATTTTTCAAACAGTGTTCAGGATCCAAGGGCGGGTCGTACTCTCTGCACCGCCGAGAAGATAGAAAACAACAGATCGGATATCAAGCACCTTTATGATATGCTCCACCGCGCCGGCGGCAGCGTCAAAGGGACCGGTCTCCCGTTGAGCGCTGCACAAGAGGCAGGGCTGCTGGACTCTCTTTCGCGGACGCTGGGTCTCTATATGGACATCTTGATCTATGAGAAGACAGCATCGACAACACCGGCAGCTTTGACCCGGCCATATGAACTCCCGAACTGCATCTGGAGGGATATGCGCTGGTATCTCGCCATGGCGGGAAGCAGGTCTAAAACAGTGAGGAAAGGTGTGATGGAGCTGTGCTACAGCTTTGTGGCAGTACTTGTGGAAACAGTGCCGCGCTATGAGCTACAGTGGTTGGCGGGGCTGATTGCCCTCAGCAATCGAAGGAAGGGCATGGAAGACGATGACTGGGAACAGAGAATCTGGCAATCGGTGGGATTGAGATGGCAGAAGCAGTACAGCAGATTGTGGAGAGAATGCTTTCCGAATTCCACCGCTCTATCAACAGAACCTGAGCTCCCGCTGCTCTAGTTTCAAACAGCGCCAGTGGTACGAAGTCACATGAATGAAAGTGCCCGTCTCCAGTCCAGTTCAACCTTCCGCCACCTGCTTAGATACATCCAAAAGATTCCATCCTTCCACCGTGCTGAAATGCTTCCGCAGCAGGATCACATCCCAGCTTATTGTGAAGCCGGTGGCCATTGATTTAAAACATGTTGACCTCATTCAAATAAAGAATCCTCCGCTGGTTCGGGGCACGCAGGGGGCTCAGTGTACGTATTCGCTTGTAGATAATAGTGGGGGAGCGTGAGTTTCGGTTGAGCCTTTTGAATGTTAATATGAATCAGATCACGACTGAACAACCGACTAACCTGTTTTATAATGCTATTCTCCTCATCCGTAAGCTTGAGAAATCCGGGATGAATACCGGCATCGGAGATCAAGCTCCTCACCCACTCAGCAGCATATCCGCAGTTCCATTGATGAGGTGACCTCAAAGTCAGATGCTCGTCTTTTAGTCTACCAATCGCATAATCCACACCCGACTTGGATCGTTGTTGAGGTCCACGCTTGGTGATGAGAGTTGTGATGGTATTGTGTATGATGCCCGCGCTGGCTAAATGAACGGCAAACGCCTTTTCCTTGTCTGTCCACTCGATCCCAGGCATGATAATTCAATCCGACTCGCGCTGAAATAGGCCTGTTCTCCCGATTTCTTTTGAAACTGGATAGCAAGAGTCATCAAGTGAGTGAGAGGCCAGCTTTTATGACCCAACACGCTTGGAATCGGATCCGATGTCTCAAAAATTTGATTGGTTGTCATGTCAAGAGCTAGCATCATGATCAATCGTGATCGAACCGCTCACTCGGGATCTAAATTATGAGGACTCAAATTATTCGGGGTGTTCATCAGTTTCTATTAATGGCATCGGTGATGGAGGGACGATATATATAAAGCATCAGATTCAGGGAGAGGCACATCTACAGAACAGTTTCCAAATCCTCTGCAACAATGAATGCATAGTCAGCAGAAGAAGTTGCTATCATTCTGTACTTTGCTTCCCAATGAGTTCATCACCTTGTGATTAAGAAGCTGCTTAGTCAGCGTGGGTACCTCTGTTCCGTGTCAGGGATCACAGGAAGCAGAAAACTTGACCTCGCTAAGTGCACCACTTGACCTCATTACATAATCATGACCCTGACCTCGTACAATACAGTAATAATCAGTTAGTAATTGACTTTCAATCTTTCAATTCACTTATTCATTCATTCATTCAGCTCATCAATCAATTGAAAAGCATGTATAACTGATTCATAATCAATTAAATGAATAGATAAATTCATATAGAATATAAAGAGATGTTTTACAGAATTTTAAAATATATTAAGATAAAAATATTTAATAATTGATTTTAAATTGATTTTAAATTGATTTTAAATTGATTATTAATTAATTATAGTAATAAAAATAAATTCAATTTATATATTTAAGTAATTAACAATTGATTGAAAATCAATTAATAATCAATTCAGTATAAATTATATAAATACTTACTTTATTATTAAATTCAAGAATAATTTCAGTATTAAATTAATTTTAAATTGATTTTAAATTGATTTTGAATTGATTGTAGAATTGATGATAAATAATTGAGTGATTTCAAATTACAAGAAAAGATGTATTGAGCGAGGTCAGGTAGTGGCACGGGCCACATTTGCGAGGTCAGCTTACATAACGAGGTCAAGTGGCGCACTTAGCAAGGTCAAGTTGTGGCGGGCTGCGCCCGATCAATTATATAGACTATTCCGTACACTTTATAGATTTCTACCACCTCATTCCTGATCACTGATTCTCAGTCACTATGAATGTGTATGTTCTGATCATCAATTCTCAGCCACTATGAACACATGTATATTCTTTCATCTCAAAGCTTCACTGCATACATCACTATGTGATTCAAAGGTTGCTTAAGCCAGCGTACGATTACAGGCGTACGCCGGCTTCTTATATATTGTAATATCGTACGCTAAATTAATTAGCAGCTGCTATGGCCCCTTTACACTCATACGCGTATGCTAGTAGTTCGGAAGCGGCTGCGTTATTATCTGACAGTCGTATGTTCTTCCGAACCACATCCTCCCCCACCAGATTCAGTCACGCCCACGTGACCATATTGTACGCCCTAGCTTCATGCGGATTAGCTCGCCACTAGTGTTTCATGATTGTGTGACCTATCCCTGATTCAGCTAGTGTCCTGTGTACACTCTCACAAAGAAACTTTCACTATATTATATCACTCATTCACTAACTTTTCTCATTCTTCAACTATCATCTTCATCATCATTATCATTAAATGTCATTATTATTTCAGATTTCTATTTCTTCTTCTGTTTAACTCTTTCTATCTGTCTATCTATCACATTATACACATTTCTGACAATGATCTCTCATTTTCATAACAAGCATCATTGTAATACTCATATCAGACAGTTTATTAGCAGTAAGTGTAATATATTGTGAAATGTGATCAGGACTTATTTATTCTCTAATAATTACCAGAATAATGTATTATTATAAATGAAGATATATCTTCTTCATCTTCTTATACACTCTTGATTATTTCTTCTTCTCAGTGAGTTTCTGATCATGTTTTCTGACATGATTTTATGTGAATACAGATACTGATATATTTGTTTTTATTCATATAGAATCTTTATATGTTGACAGATCTGCATTTATCAATAATAGTGAACTCAATATTGAATCATTGATTGAGAATCTGAAGAATGTGATAATGAAGAAATTATCTGTGCTATATATGACTGAGTCTTCTGTGTCTCTCTCTATTTCTTCTGTTTCTTTCTCTGCTGCTTTCTTTTAATCTTCTATATCTATTTCTGTATCTGGTTCTCCTGCTTCTGCTACCTCTGTTTCTGTGACTCTTACTTCTGCTACTTCTGCTCTCTCTGGTTTTACTGTCTCTGCTTTCATTATCAGCTCTTCCTGTTTCAAGAAGATATTGTATAGACTTGATAAATCATGTTTCTCAGTATATACACTTCTATCCTTCTTACTGACTCTCAGAACAATTTATTATATGAAGACTGTGTATAACATAACTATCTGAAGCTCAGTCACAGACACTGATTATTACATTTATTTTAAATATTTGTGATGAAATAATTGTTTATTCATACTAGAGAATCACTCTCTCTCTTAACAGTGTTAAAATTATAAGTCTTTTTCTTTTTCATCTTTTCTTTCTAATACTGATTTTTCTGTTCTTAGAAGAAATCATTATAGGTTTTACTGTGTACAAAGTCATGATATTCACAGACATCAAGAAGCTTTTCACAACTGTAAAGTTCAATATTATAAGAATATCTGCTCTAGTGAATTTCTTCAGAATGATAGATCTGTATCAGTCTATTCTCTAATATCTGTCATTCAACTTCATAATGCAGATGAAAGATATCTGTGTTTTCAGAAATAAGAATGCAGATGTTATACTCTTTTACACTCATAGACATGAGACTTGTACACCTTGTCTGAGATGTTATCATGAAAATAAGCTGTTCACACACTGTGTTCTGCTTCCTGTATTTCTCTGTGTCTCTCTCTCTCTTCCTGAGAAGTCTCATGCATGTTGTAATTACATGTACAATTCTAAGATCAGTGAGTGTTTATTTGATAATTATTATCCCTGCTTTTACAGTTTTATACACTAATAATAGTTCTTAGTTGCTTCAGTGTCAGAGATTATTTTAATTGAAGATAACAATGCTGCTGAGACTACTCTCTCTCACTCTCAAGCTTCTTCTGTCACTTTCTCTCCCTTCTCTGTGAGAAAGATTGTGCATATATTAAGTCATAAGTATTCAGCTCTGAATAACTCTCATCATTGTTTATCTGATTCTGTGTCTTCTTCTTCTTCTGTTTCTTCTATCTCTGTCTTCTCTGCTCTGACTTCTGATTCTGTGAGTTCTGTGCTCTTCTTCAATTTCTCTACACATACACATGTGCATTTCTATATTGACATTCCAGCTAATCTTGTGATAAATGACATTAATGTTGTATGCAGAGTGATAGAGAAATTAGAGATATATGCAGTGTTATTACAAGAGTAGCTTGCAGCTCTTGAATTTCTTACAGATCTCAAGTTTTGAGATTTTCTTTGTTTTTAGTGTTTTTCAGATGACATGATGTTGGAAATAGATTAATATGTAATGTATGAAAATGAATGAGATATATATGATAATATTTGTCTTTTGCAGTCAATTCTTACAGTTGATGATCAATTCATTATCTCTTTTCTTTTCTTATGCTTTTTCTTTATCTGTTAGTCACTACTCTTATACAATCTCTATATAATACTGCATTTGATGACTAGATTCAGCAGCTTCTATCTTTTGTGATTCTGTCTCACATATTATACTGTCTCTCTTCACCTGCTCAGATCACTACAGTGAATAACTCATTAAAACTAATCTCATCTGATCTCTGAGTGTTCTCAGAGGTCAAGATGACTTAATTTCATATATTTATAAATGTTTCAGATAGTTTGTTCTCTGTGATCTCTGTGATTAAACTAGTGTAAACAGTTGAATTCAACTCTGAATTTCTTTTTCTTCTGTGATCTGACTCATGTACAAGTCTGCTGCTTTGAGACTGCTCTTTACTATATTGCACCTGCTGTCTGCAGCATGTTATTATATGATCAGCTACAGTCTCATCACTTATTAAAGTGTGATATTCATCTGATTTCTTCATTTCTTCTCATTCTTTTCTTATAATTATGAAAAGATCAGAATAACTGAGATTATCTGATTTATAAGTGTTGATGATTTCTCTTACTTCATGAGACTTTTTAATTATAAGCTTCTTCTTTTTCAATACTGATAATAGTGCTGTGAATAATCATAATTCACTCAGGTCTTGTATCTTTGCTTTTATAAGTTATGAATCATTGATTAAGTTGTGTAAGATCTGTCTCTCTGATTCTTTCAATGCATATATTCTCAGAGAATGTGATTTGAGTATTTTATATGACTCAAACCACCTAGGTTGAAACTTCTCAGAACTCTTATTATATATGAGAACTCATGTTCTCATCTTGAGACTTGATTTCTTAACAAGTGAGTCTTGTATTCTTTTTGATTGAATTGCTCAGTTCAGAAGTAACTTGTTAGCTTTTGCATGTGTATGACTGATCTCTTTCAATCTTGATTTCATGTCTGTGACTGTTGTGTCTGCAACTGCTACTACTGTGTTTATAACTACTGTTTCTGCTGCATCTGCAACTGCTGTTTCTGCTGCATTCACAACTGCTCTCTTTCTCATCTTTTTCAAAGCATTCTCCAGAATGC